TAATTCAAACCTTGCTGAAGCCAGTCTTCTGCTTAGTAACACTTGGATTTGGTAGAATGTGATGTGAGGCGGGTATAAGTGTGGGTGAGGGTCACCTGGAAGATGTGCAGTGTCTGGAGAAAGTTAGCAAGGTGATGCAGCCAAGTAGTGTGGGACAATGTGAAATTTGAGGAATGTTTTAAATACGAATTATGGTTTTAGAAAAAAAAGACAAAAAACTTGTGGCATGTGTTTTAATGAAAAGTGGGTCTGTAAAATGGAAGGTGTGTGAGATGTTGGTGGCTGGAGAACAGGAGATGGGAGTCCATGTACAGCGCAGAGAAGAAAGCTCAAGTCTAGCAGTGGATGTGATCCACCAGTGCAGGCAGCATGCAGACTTCCTCTACCGCCCATGAAAAAGCAAGTGCCTGTCATTTTTTTGGTCTCCTTGAACCGTTTCAAAATTGCAGCCTTTCTGAAGCCAGGCAAACCACAGGGACGCACAGCAGTGTCCCACTCGGTGGCTTTGCGGGCCGCCTTCAAGTGTCCCCTGTTCCTGGTGCAAAGGGCTGGCTTGTTTTTGGCTGCGTGTGGGCTTCTCGCTGCATGGGAGATCACCAGGGAGGCAATTACCCCGTGCTGATCCTTGAGGGGAACCGTAACAAAACCAGAAACTACATGAGCTAAATTGGGAACATATTCTCTTAAACTCTGGTAAATGTGAGTGCATGAACTTAAAGGGCATCAGCTGTTGGGCTTCTAATGGAGCAGCTGGTATGAAGCAAGCTGGTAACTGGATTGCTTCTTTAGGTGATTTACTTAGGTGCTCATCACCCGCTCACAAACCCTGCGCTTCCCTTTCCATGCCTTGGAAGTTCTCCTGTATGTGCTGAATGCCAAGACAGGGTACTTTGCCAGTTGAGGTGTTTGGCCCTGATCCAGGAAAACACTTGGATTAAGCGTACACTTAAACCTAGATGAAGGTGATGTTCTCTTGAATTTAAAGGTGGGCAGATTCTGTAATAATATAAGGAATTTATTTTTTTTCCTCACGTGAAGTTACAGGAGGCTTGGGCTCAGCGAAGCAGCTGGCTCTTGATCTTTCTTTTGGGGAAGAGGCATGGACTGGTTGACCTCTTGAAGTTCTTCTTGGCCATGTTTCCTATGGTGGATAATGAGGCTATTGAAATTGTGCAATGGTGATTGACTGTTTGGAAGGGATATTAAACCTCCGCACATCAGCTCTCACTTCTGGAGATCAGAATGACATCTCATGTGTGGGAAAGGCAAATTATCTCCTAGCTGCAGGGTTCCTCCATCTTGCTGTCACGTGTTTCTGGTTGCTCACTGACAGAGGTAGGATGCTGAACTAGATGGACCAATGTTCTGATTCAGTCTGGCGATTCCTGTTGTCCCCTGAGTCCTGTTGACTTCAGTGAGAATTCAACACGTGTTTAAGCACTTCCCTTGAAAGGCAGGCTTTTCTGTGCCGGTCTCTCTGCCCAGCTGCTTGCAGCTCTGCAGGGAAGAAAGCAGGTTTCTGTTAAGTGCTTGGATCAGCCCTACCACATCCTTTTTTTGTTTTTTAATGGGAAAATCCTAATTTATAGCATGCGCTTCTATTTTAAAAATAAATGCAAGCTGTCTTGAAGTCAAGCCGTGCTCCATGTCGCAGTTACGCCATTGGGTAGGAGGTTTCCATTAGCGCCTGTGGAGGGGACGAATGCACAAATGGCTGGGAGAACACAGCAGAAAAACAACTCTTGAGCTTTATGACTGCTTTGCTTCTAAACCTGTGAGGCAAGAGTACCGAGAGGAATACGTCGTGTGGCTTGTGACCCTTTGAAGTGGCTGGTTCAGTACTGACAGGATGGGTTCCCTTATCTCCACTCCCATAAAGAGGACCGGGAAATACGCCTGTGATGTGGGACTCTTACATTTCAAGCCTTGATCAGGTTGACAGCTTTTTCCTTTTTTTTTAAAATTTATTTTTTTTTCCCCCCAGCAGTTAATGAACAAAGCTAGTTGAAAGCAGGGAGCTGCTCTGCCCCCTTTTTGCGGGTAAATGAAGTGGGACGCTAACAGCTGTGTTTGGGTGCTGCTGCCCATCTGCCCCTCCGGGAGGATCGGATCAGCGGGAAGGTTACAGCCTGCCTGTCCTTTCCTGCGTCAGAGGCTTTGGCAATAGCTGGCGTTTGTCTTGCATCCAGTCTGCGCTCAAAACAGAAGTCCTGAGTACCTGCATCGGTGCACAGTCACCCCGAGCAGACGCCAGTGTGTGTCCCCAAAATACGGTTCTTAGCAGGGCCTTTACTTTGCAAAGCAACTAACTTGAAAACTGCAAATTTCATTTTTTCTGAGGCAAGTGTGCCCCAGATGAGGCTTTGATCTGGGAAGCTCAGCTGAGTCTGACCGGGTCTGTGCAAGGATCCCAGAGCCCAGGTGGATGTGATTTGCAAGTCAGATGGCTGCTGCTGTATGGGAATGGCTTGCTTGATCTCGAGCACAGTTCTGCCTTTTAAGAGTGACTTGTTTTGTGTAAATTGAACTGTGCTAGGAGTTTGTTGCATGGCTGATCTAAACCGAGTAAAAAAAACCATTAAACTAAATTTTGAGACAATTCAGATTTGAATGCCAGCAGTTCTTGGGTCCCTGCTTCCCAGAACTTAAAAATATTATCTACCCTTCGGAAAATGAGCCCTTTAAAGAAGGTTGAGAGTGGCACATATCAAACAACTAACAGTCCTTGAAAAATTAGGCTGCGCCTTTTTATCCAATACAGGAAACAAAATCACTACAAATTGTGATACAGAAGTGTAGCATCAGAATACCAAAGGTGGATAAACACTGTTCACCTCACAAGGCACCGCTTTGGCTCAGCAAGCAGGGCGCTGGTCAGTGGGTTGCATACAGTCATGTTTTCAGGAGTTATTACCCAAAAAGCTCTCACTAGCCTTGAGCTTCTTGTCTGTTTACAGCTTGTGAATTAATGGGTAAGTGACATGTCTCAACATGGGAGAGGAGCAAGAGGAAGATGGGAAGAGATGGTTATTTCTAGATGAAGAATGTAACTTGGAGCTAAAGGGGCCTTTGCCGTTAACTTCCTTTCCTGTCCCAGATACTATTCCTCATTCTAGAGCGTGGTCCCCCAGCTTCTAAACCAGGGATGTAATTGTGGCCTTTGAAAACATTTAGTGCCATCACAAAAACAGCAGTAATAACTGTGTATGATAATGTTAATGTTTTGTGGCCTTTTTTTTTTTTTTTTGTCTACCCCTTGCCCAGGGACGCTCCAAAGGGATCGAATTTTTAAAAACCTCACTCGGAAACGCCAGCGGGCGATGCGAAGGCGAGTGCATCAGGTGAACGGGCACAAATTCATGGCTACCTACCTGCGACAGCCTACGTACTGCTCACACTGCAGGGAGTTCATCTGGTAAGAACGGCTCGAACACGGTGGTGTGGAGCTTCCTATCCCTTCGTGTTTTGGGGGCTGACATGCCACCCCCGATCCTGAATCGGTCACACAGCACTTTACCAAGGGCCAAGGACTCCCCCTGGCCATCAGGTTTAGCAGGATACTTTTATGCTGCAAACTGGAGTCTACTGCAGAGAGGCCAGAGGTGATGTGTATCTTGGATGCTGGAAACAAACTGGGGTGGTGTGGGCATGAGGCAATGTTCCTCACTTATAAGCATAGATATTATTTCAGGGGGGGGTAAAAGTAACACAGGCATGTTGCAGAAAGACCCTAGATATTAACTGAGTGGAGCTTTGAGATTATACTGAGAAAAAACAGTTACTTGAAATACTAGAGAAAGTGCCTGAGAACAGAAAAGCCATCAGAGGTGTGAGGTGTGGGGCGATACGTGTGGGGGAGTAGGCAGAGTAGGGAGAAAAACTTAGATATGTCTCAAAAGAGCATGGAGTGGGAGAGATAATAACAGGGTGTGGGCTGCTGGGATCAGTCTAATAAGTGTGGTGTGTGTTGTAATCAAGTGAGGTATTTCAGAAACCAGAGTGAGGGGGAATATGGTTAATAACAGGCATGTTGACAGCCTGCCCTGTAAGCTACAGCCCTTGCACTGCTTTGTTAGGCTCTCACACCCCTGTGCTGAATTGCATCATTATTGCTGGGCAGTTTTGCCCCGGTCATCTGGTCATTTGGGATCCTCTTGCAGTTTGGCTCTCTCTTCTGGAAACGATCTGCAAGAAGACTGGCTTTCTGATGTTAAGTTATGTATGTATTTTGTTTTGAACAGGGGCGTGTTTGGGAAGCAGGGATACCAGTGCCAAGGTAAGGTGCTCTGCTCCTGCACAGTGTGTGTGTGGGATGTGCTGTTTCGGGAGCACTTTCCTGTGCTGCTGGGACATCCTGCGGTTACAAGCTTCTCTGAGGTCACTTCTCCTTTTCCTCCCCAGCCAGCCAAAACTGTGCATTTGAGCAGCTGTCCTTGCATGCATGCAGGAGCAACCACCTACATTCATGCAGACATCTAGGGGTCCGGTTGCTGTGTTTCATCCTGTGCAGATCCACTTAGTTGCAGAGTACATGCAACACCCAGCTAGGCTTGACACATCCAGTGTCCCTTCAGTACAGTGTTCAGCTGGTACTGGGACACAGAGTACCCTGCTGGAATGGCCACCCTCTTCCTTTCTCTCCTTACGAAGTTCAACAGAGTGAAGTTAGGGATGTGACCTTGTGGGCTGGTGCAGCACTTTTGTCTGAATGCATGTTGTGGCTGAATGGCTGTATAGATGTATGTGGTGCTTGTTTGCACTTAATTATTGTTCTGCCTTTCCTTTTTTTTCTTTGGTGAGATGACAAAATTACATGCTTCACAGGTGCATGGTCATTCAGCCTAGCCTTCTAACACAGCCTGTTTCTTGTGCAATATAAGAGGGCACTGGTGTCCTCATACGGAAGGAACCTGCATGTAAACAAAATGGATATCCTTCATAAAATTTCTGGGTGAAAGTGAATGTTATTGATAGCCCTTCATGAATGCAAGCTTAAGTCAGCAACACACGGAATAGCTTGGGACCCTACAACATATCTGCAACTTGCAGTTTCCATTACAAAAATCTCCTTACGTAGATGGTAGCTACAGCCCTTAGGCGTCTACACTGCACGCTGGGGTATGGAGTAGAGGGATCCAAGTTCGTTCTAGCCAAGCCAGCTTCAGGCCTGGAGAGAGGCCAACTCTACTTCAGGGCTGATTAGCCCTCTTGATGGGCACTAGCTAGTTAGCTTAGCCACAGCACCATTCTGCTGCAGCTTCCCAGACCCAAGCATTGCACTGAGCCTCAGTGACAAACTGACCTGGGCAGGACTCACTTGGATATCCAGCATAAGAAGCCCTGTGACACTGATGTAGGGATGACTTTTGTTATCTCAGACCTGTGTTCTCTAATGGTGTTTGCCTATGTTATGTGAAATACTCTCCACTGGATAATTATTTCAACAGCATATTTTGTAGTTCATTTGAGAAGTTATACTGGTTTTGTGTGCATCACCCATGTTTTATGTAGACACCTATTTTCTAGGCTCTGTGAATGATCCGGTGCAGAATTTCTGTTGAAATGGGTTGGAGATGCATCTCCAGATCTGTTATCTGGAGATTCCAAGCCGCTGATTATTTTTCACATCTTTGCTGTGTCCTGATGATACAGCTGAGCCTTAAAGAACACAGCTGGTGGGTTGATGTGTTCTGAGTCTTTCAAGAGCTCTTTTCAGCATGCCTCTTTTATTTCCTAGTATGCACCTGTGTTGTACACAAGCGCTGCCATCATCTAATTGTTACAGCTTGCACGTGCCAAAACAATACTAACAAGACCGATCTCAAGGTAAAGTCACGTTGGTTATTTTGAGTCATCATAATTTGTGAATCTTCAGGGTTGTTTGGGTTGCTGGGGGTTGTCCGATAACAGAATTCACTCTGTGTTATCTTTATTCATGGATTTAAAAGTGAGAAAGAGTGATAGGGACATGCATAAAGGCCATGCAATATCATCTGGTTAATGCAAATAACTGGGTGGACTAGCACATTGTTTAGGAAGGCAGGGTGCCTTCATTGGAAGACGTCAAGAAATAGCAAATGCACCGTTTTCCATGGTAGTTTTCTTGCATGATTAACTGTGTTGTCATCAAAATTTGGTGCCTGGTTCTTAATGAGGATTTCTCTGGCTTTAAAATCCAACCACTGGTCTTTGTTATGCCTCTTTTTTCTTTTCTGGTAACTTAAAAGTGCCCATTTAGTCATTGCTCCACACCTTTACTCTATGAAATTATGTTGTAATAAAGAATCCTTGCATAACTTCTGTTTCTGAAGATTTTCTTTCTTGCTAGTTTTGGCTGTATTTGACGGGAGTAGCATCCTCACCTAGAACTGCCCTGCGCGTTGCATGTGTCATTTCTATAACTGGAAATTGTTTAACAACTGTGCAAGGAAAATTCAATTGAAATGTTTTTATTTGGGAGGTAGCTTTCCATGGTGTGCCATGCAGAAACCTTCTGTCCAGTGCAGATAAGCAACTGCCTTTGCTCACTATTTCTTGCCTCCGAACTGCTGAGCTAGACTTCTTAAAATGACCCCTTGCCACACCAGATGGAAATAGTTAAAATGCACAGGGCTGAAGTGCAAGTTTTAAATGCTGAGTATCCTCACCCCTCTTTTAGGATTGTGAAGGGTTTATAACACCTCTAAGCTACTTTAAAAGAAGGCAGAGGTGAGGCAACACAACTCACTTTAAATTCATTGTTTCAGTTGAACCTCTGATTTTTCTTTGTGAAGTGGTGTGTTCCTCCTCAGTATTCCAGGATCTGCATGTTAAGACACAAAACGGAAAGTAACAAAGAGGTTAAACGGGGATGGGTTTCTTCAGCCAATGCAACATTTTCTAAGGTGTCTTTTGTGATCTGAGTGATTCACACATGGGAAAGAGCAAGGTTAAAAAGGGGATGGGAGCAAGCGATAAAATGAAATCTGGGCCTGAAATGAATGTTAATAACAAGGAGGGTGAGAAGATGAATGAGAATTTTAGGAGGAGCTGGGAAAACTATTCTATATTAAATTGCATAAAATCAACACTTTGACCTACAGTTACATAGCATGCGAGTTAGTAATTTGAAAACTGGTTAGTTACAAAATGCTGCAGCTAACATAATTTGTATGTGGCACTTCAGTGTGATGGGTTTGTGATGAGCTAATCCGCACTTCTAATTCTAACTTGGTTTTAAGAATTTAAAATTGGCTAGGTAGCCCTTTGTAAAATCTGCTTTGTCAGGTAGTCCCACCTGCCCAGCAAGGAAACCAGAGCAGGCTTGCAGCAGGTGAGGTTGGTCACTTGCAGTAAAGGTGGGTGAGGTGATGGATTAGGACATCTTTTGAGTTGGAATTATTTTCATAGTTTTGCACTTAAATGCCTGTATGTAAATGAACATCAGCTTATATATATGTATTTGAATTTTAAATCTGTGCTTTTCTTTTGGTGCCTCAGGTGACTGAACAGAGGTTTGGAATCAACATTCCTCATAAGTTCAGTGTCCACAACTACAAAGTCCCGACTTTCTGTGACCACTGTGGTTCCTTGCTCTGGGGAATCATGCGACAGGGCCTACAGTGTAAAAGTGAGCAGCTTCTTACTGTAGCCTTTTCAAAAAATACATGTATTTTTAGACTCTTGAAGCACTCTGTGGACTTGATTTGTGCAACCTTCAAGAGAAAGCTGAGCAATGAATATTCATCTTTGAATAAATAAATAAATAAAATGCTGATCTACTTTTTAATCTCTGGCTTCCAGGAGGACTCTACTTTGCACTCTCAGCACAGCTTTGTTTAACTTGCATTATTGAAAATACTCTTGAGTATCACTGTTTCCTGCATTCATCTTTCCCTTTACCTGAAGGTTTTTCCTCAGCTAATCAAGATAAGGCAACAAAAAGGCATCTGAGGGGGAAAAAAAGATTGTCTGCCCTGTCTGTCATGCTGTTAATTAATGACAAAGCATGTCCTGGTGTTATGTTGTTGTTTCAGTAATCCAGACTGTAAAATCATAGCAATCTGTTTGCCTTCATCTCCCACAAGAGGGGGTGTGTGTGTCCATGAGTGAGAGCAAGAAAGATTTTTAGTTTCCCACTGAACAATATGTCTTTAAAAACAGATACCTGAAAATGCAGGGGAATTTTGTTGCGAATTCTGTGGCATTATAAATACTAATTTTATCTGCCAGCATAGCTGCAATAGTATTTATATGCCTGACAAACATCTGCTTATGAGTATCTTCAGGCAATGCGGCATGCTACTTGGAGCGTTTGGGGTATATTCCTGATTTTCAGGAGTTTATTATTTTATGAGAGTCCTAATTTTGTTTCTGTGGAGATCAGTGGCAAAAATCCCTTTAGTTTAAAGACACAGAGTAGATCCAGATGGATGTATTTCCTGAAGCAGAATTGCTAAATTATTTCTCAGCAATAAATCCCTCCAAGTTATTTTAATTGTTCCTTTGTTTGACTTTCCATCCCTACCATCACCCCTGTCAGTCTGTAAAATGAACGTCCACATCCGATGCCAAGCAAACGTTGCACCGAACTGTGGGGTGAACTCGGCAGAGCTTGCTAAAACCTTGGCATGTATGGGTCTGCAACCAGGAAGCATTTCCCCAAATTCGGTGAGTACTTTTCTTTCTTCTGGCTTTTTTGTTTGTTTGTTTGTTTGTTTTTGTTGTTTTTTGGGTTTTTTTACCTCCTCTATCTAAAACATTTACAACTGAGTCTTTATATGGGTGCAGGAGAAGTTAGAGACTTCAGTTATGGCAGGTGGCTTCGAGTGGTGGACTGCATTAGATTGTTACTCTCTGTGGCTTGTGGCAAAGACTTCACCGGGAAAATGGTTGTCTTATATCCAGGTTTACCCTGACAGAGACTTTAGTCTGTAGGTGTCGCTTTGTCGTCTGCTTGTGTTTCACAGTGGTGTGACTCCATTGACTCTTTTGTCTGTTTAACATGAACGAGAGGAGAATAAGACCCCAAACTAATTAATGGTCAATGTAATTCATGCCATACCTTTTTTTACCTTTCCTGCATATGCTCTATCTGCATATGTGTCTTGGAATAGAGCATAAGAAGAGCTCAGCAAGAGGCCTAGGTTCTCTTCTTCCCTTTGTCACTGTTTTTCTGAGTGATTTTGGGGAACCTATTTCACCTTTCGCTACGGTTTTCCCAGCTAAAATCTGTGGTCCCTCTCAGCCTAACATTGTCTCTGGTCTTTGCAGTCCAAGCCAGGGTCCTAGTGAGCTTGTTGCTAGGGTTGGGACATATGTGTAATATTTCTGCTTGTCAGTACTTATGGCATCCTAAAAATCCGGCTGTTGTATATCTGAATCTGTTCAGAGCGTTTAAAACACGCTGTAAGAGTTTGAGTGAAAATGCCTCTAAAGGGTGATGGAAATCAGAGCTGTCATTTGATAACAAGTTTTCATCACGTTTTCTTTGTGAGCAGTTTCAAACAGTGAGTTTTCTTGAAACCACAATAACCCATAATAAAGTGTTGGTTGGTTTATTTTTATTTGACCAAAAAGAAAATATTAGAGCCAAAAAACATACTTGCCAGACCTGGTAAATCTTGTTGGACAGTTAGTCAGCTACATCAGTTGACCCCATGATACTGTATCAGCCTAGCCTGCTCATTAGGCTGTGCTGCCCCTTTTGATTTCTGTTGGTTTGTAGCAAATAAGACTTTCTTGCCTTCCTCTTCATGCGGTAGCAGTTTGGGGGGACAGTTATTCCTCGAGTTACAGGGAAACACAAGTCCCACGCTCCCTTCTCAGTTCTGTAAAAATCAGCACTTGTTAGCGTTTGTCTGTTTGCATAATCTGCACATCAAAAGGAGATGGAACCAGAAAAATAAAAATCTGTGCTGGTGTTTAACAATCTCTTCTCGCTCTTTGTGAACTAAAGGCTCTGGGTAAGTGTTCAGACTGTGCTGTAAGCTTAAATCTGGTGGGAGTTTTGCTGGGTGCTGTCCTGAATGTTCTTGGTTCTTTCCCCATGGCTGGGGTTGCCTTTTCTGTGGCGGTGAGCCAAGTCTGCTGTGCAGGAAGAATTTTGCTTTACACCAAAGTAGTCACAAGGTGGAGCTCAAGAAGTCCGTGTGACTTTGTTCGGGCTAATAAACTGGATAAAAGTACTCGCGGTTTATATGCGTACTGGTACCTGAAGAGCTGTGAACAGAGGGCACTGAGGGTGACTTGATCTTTGTATACTGTAAAAACAGAAGCTCTAGGAATGTGTGCTAATACTGATACAGTTCCTGAAAATGCAGACACCTCACTGCTGGCATGGGAATGAACAGCCTTCCATCAAATTTACAGCAGTGGAGGAAGCCAGCAGCCCAGCTGTGGGAAGGAAAAATATTTTGAAGTTTGGGTCCCACTGAACTGGGCTTTGGGTAAATCAGGGAGAAACCAAAGAGATTCAGATGAAATCTGCTTGAGTTCTAGATCTCAGCAGGACTTCACATATTGCAGAAATGATGCAGTTCTCCTCGCTCTGATGTTAGGTAGGAGACTTGGATTTCCACACTCATTGTCTTGTTTTTCTGGGGAGTGAGGATGGAGAGAGGCAGGCTTGCCTCTTGGATCTGCTGGGCAGTCGGTTTACAACTTCAAATGCCCAGGTCAGAAAGCAGCGTTGGCGTCTCGGCAGAGCTCTGCCCAGTGCCGAGGCTGGCCGATTGCACGTAGCAGCTATGCAGGGTGGTGGTACCAACGCACTTTCTGTTCCAGTGGCCCTGCAGTGCATCTGAACAGGTCCTAAATGCCCAGGTTGGTATGAGGCAAAAGTACCATTTCTATGCAAACTGATACTTATTTACTTTCCTCCACAGAAACTGGTTTCAAGATCTACTTTGAGACATCAGGGAAAAGGCAGCCTGAAAGATGGCAACAAAGTTAGTGAAAGTTCAGCGAGCAAACTTGGGATCAAAGACTTAACCTTCCTTCGTGTGTTGGGAAAGGGCAGTTTTGGAAAGGTGAGAGTTATTTGTGGCTCTTTTGGGGAAAACCACGTTCCTTATTTAAGAAGCTCCATGGTAGATGAAGTTATTTCATAATGTGGCACACAGGCTGTCAGGGTTGGTTACAGAGAGCAGGCAGAAAAGGGAAGAGAAAGCAAGCTGGCATCAAAGTGAAGAACTGGATATCACAAAAAAGGAAAATGTTAGCAACGAAAGAAACAGCTGCATGCCAGGGCCCGTAGCAGAGATTGCAAGTGTGTGCATTAGCACTCATTTGGGCAGCATTTCTTGGAGCATGTAAAGACTTTTCCTTTAAAGGAAACAAGGCAGTGGTTTCAAATGCAGTGAGATGGGGGTTTCATTTCTCTGCTTTGCCACAAAGCCAGTGTGAAATGGTGCATTTGAATTTGATAACTGAGGAAGGAAGCAGGATGGATGGCGCTGCTTGGAGGGGGGGGGGGTGTTGCCCTAGCACAGTAAGCTTCAACCAGCAAGCGCCGTGCAAGACATTGGAGCAACATGTGGGTATTTCTCTGCAGAGAAGCCCACTGCAGACAGTAGCATGTGTCATTAGTTGTACGTGGATGCCCATACTAACAGGCTGACTCACTTGGATGCACAAGCCTGGTCGTGAGGTAACTGACCTTTCTAACGTGAGAAGGTGCGGGAGGCTCTGTGTTGCTCATAGACTGAGGGCTTAGCCCTTGCAGTTCACCCTCTCCTTTGGTTTAGGTGATGCTTGCGAAGATGAAAGAGAGTGGGCAGCTCTATGCAGTGAAGGTGTTGAAGAAGGACGTCATTCTCCAAGATGACGATGTCGAATGCACCATGACCGAGAAGCGCATCCTTTCCTTGGCAAGGAACCACCCATTCCTCACCAAGCTCTACTGTTGCTTCCAGACTCCTGTGAGTATAGCCCAGGCATATATACACTGGCTGACATGTTCAGGACAGAGGCACTCTCCTGTATATTTGGTCCCTGGCCCATTATAAATGTCTACCTTAGACCCAGGAGAAACCTCTCTGCTCAAGGGTGAGCAGGGCACTGTGCTATGTTCCACCTCTAATATCTGCTGGGCATTGGGCAAACAAAGTCCTGGCTTGCTCTAAGCTCCCTGACAGAATGGTAATAACAGGGAAGCCTTTCTTTGTGTCTTTCCTAGAAACATCTCTGTGCCATTGAATGTTTCCAAATACATATGCGCAAATGTCTACAGGCCTGCAGTGTCCGCCCGTGGCTGTGGGATCTCAGGCTCTGCTGTCCTGCTACCTGAATTTTTAACAGGACTGTATTTGCACTGGGTGATCTGCAAACTCAATCAATTGTATTTGAAAGCAGGGGTAGCCTCCTATATCTACCAGCCTTCGTATACTGCTCAGAACTGAAAGAAAGATCCTTCTGGGGTTTCTGGAAAGGATCTTATTGACACGGGTGGACACTAAATCAATCAGATCTATATACAGTTGGTATTTCTTCTTCTGTGGATAAGACAAACGATGGCATTGCTGTCACTTGTGATAGATATACCTCAGCAGAGGACTGCACATGTGCTGCCTGTCGAGCTTAGAGCCTCTTTCGGTGTGTGAATATGGATGGGAGCTTGGTGCTGATGTGGGTGGTGGAGTGAGGAGTGGTTGTGATGGAGGCAGTGGCCGCAGCCGTGTACCAGCACGGGAGTCCCTGAGCTAAGCTGTTATTAGGACCAAAGCTTTTTCTGCAGTGTAGCTCTTCCAAACTGCCTGGGCCCCTTTCCAGTTGCTTTTTGTCCATCGCTAAATGGTAACAGAGCTTGTTTTCCTCTTAGAAGAGGCAGGAGAAACTTGCCCTTTTAATTGTGGCTTCACTCCTCCTACAGAAACCCAAAAAATTAAAAAAAGGGAAAAAAAAAAAAAAAAAAAGGCAAATGCAGTTTGCCACCCACCCGTTTCTCTTCTCACTGGGGTGATGCAACAGCCAGCTATGGAGTTTAAGAATTGTGCTCGTTTAGGGTGGAGCCCTTGGGCCTTGGTTAGACTCACGTAATAGAAATGGGGTGGGTTTTGTTTTTTTTTTTATATACAGGTTATGTGGTTCACAGAGCAGCTGTGCTGTATGGCAGAAACAGAACTTAAAGCTCACTGTTGTCACTAGTAATGAAGGAAACTCCTCTTTCATTTCGTAATATGAAGACCCAGGGCCCAAATTTTAATGGCTTTCCTGAAATTCTCATGTAAAGTATCGAAAATGTCAGGTATTGATGTGTGCTGTTTGAGGTCAGGTGTGGGGTAGCAGTGGGTTTTGCCACTTGTTGCTATGCTCTTTGCTATGGTTTTGCTGACTGAATTGCAGTGTAGATGTGAAAATAGCAAGTGTGCTCCTGGGCTATGTAGAGTGTTTCCCATGAACTTAGGGAAGTTTTAAGGTCACCTGGCTAGTACCGTCTGTCATGTTCAAAAAATGAATGCAATCTGCTATGGGTGCAGACAAGGTCTTCTGGGCTGATGAACTGATTGCAGAGTCTTTTGCAAAGGGTGAAAAAAGGAAGAACTCAGCCTGTTTAGACTAGCAAATTGAAAGCAAAAAGAGGATCTGATTGATGTCTGCAGATGTCGAACACTGAGGAGGGAAACAAAGCTGTCAAGATGCTGGCTGAGATTAAATGAGTCTAGACTGGCCATGGATACAGTTAGACTGGAAATGAAAAGAAGGTTGCTAAACAGTAGAGCAGCCTGGAACAGGAATTTCTGGACCAGCTTGTTGTCAGAGGAGCGGAGGGAAGAAACCCTCAGCCCTTGCTGCCCTGAATGTGGAGCTGGTCAGTCTCTGAAAGGGTGCCAAGGGAGTGGTGCTTGTCGTAGCAGGACCCTGCTATTCCCAGTCTTTCCCAGGTTCCTCTTTTACTTGAGTCCCACTTTGTTTCACCTTGAGATTGTCAGTTACAGAAAACCACTTCCCCCCAATAATAAAACAAAAAAGGGAAGCCTTTACAAAAGAAAAAGTAGATTTCGGACTAATGTGGTTCGTCGCGTCTTTTGCCCATGTTCTGCACTCAGTGACACCCACTTCAGTCCAGAATAACCAGATTTAAATTGCTTATAAAAGCGTACTTAAATCCCTTTGCTATAGTCGAGAAGTGATTGCAACAGCAGGGTATTCATTGGACAGCGTCCTTCCAGGAGGGCTTAACCAGGCTGATACAGGACTTAAGGTTTCTGATCGTTCTTTACATGGCATTGGGTTATCCCATCCATTAACACAAACTTGCCAGAAAAGAATAAACAAATAAACAAATAAATAAATAAATAAAAGTAACCACTTCTTCAAAATGTCGGCCTGCAGCCATATTTAAAAATGTTACTTATGTTTGGAGTTGGGGGCAGAGTTACACAAAACAATATCTAGTTTCACTTGCAGTTACATGGAAACCATATCACATGCATTGCATTTACAGCCCAAACTCCGAAAATATGGTATTAATGGTTCATGGTATGAAAAACAAAGCATGATTCCAATCTGCCGTGGAGATCCTGAATAAATAATGACCTACTGGGCCTGCCTTTAGGAATTTTTCAGGAACTAGCCTTTTCGAGGCTTCTTGCCATTTGTCAAAGCAAAGTCAGAGTCTGATCCCGTAAGATGCATCAAGACAGGCTGGGATTAACTGGAAGGGTGGTATCCTGGCTGGAAGGTACCTGGGGTTTATGGTAGGTGCCAAGTTCAATATGAGCCAGCAGTGCAATCTCATTGCACATAAGTTAAATTATGTACTGGGCTTCTTCAGGGGAAGTCATTATCCCCTCTGCTTGGCACTGGTGAGGCTGCACCTAGAATAAGGGTTTGCAGTTATGGCCCCCCTCCCAGTTCAAGAGGAAATTGTGGAAACTGGAAAGGAAGGACCTTGGAAGCGCCTGAAATGCTGCAGCAGTTTGAGGACAGAACGCTCAAAGGGTTTGGGGGTTTGGCTGGGTCTAGAGCCATTTGAATTCTGACTCTTGTATAATAGCCCACCCAAACCAGTAAACTCTTCCCCTGACTTAAGCAGCCTAGGGGTAACTTAAACAGCCTGGGGCATGTTTGTGCTGCGCAGTGCGATGTCATGTAGTGACAGTAATGTAGCATTAGCTGAGCTGGCACAAGTGCCAGAAACAGCAACGCATTACCTGAGTATGTCTATATTGCTGCTACTTTTGCTTGCCTGTTTTAGAGCTAGCTGAGGTTTTTCTGTGCTTACATTAGCCGCTGATGGTTTTCAGAAAGGCTTTCTGTTCTCTTGTGCTGCCTCTCTGCTCACTGTGGTCCTAATTTAGTCTCAGCTGCAGCACAAGTGATACCCGCTAGCAATGGCTGCTTTATTTGCCCAGGGTGAGCTGAGGCTGCCTGACCTCCGAGCAGCATCTTGCTCCGGCACACAAAAATATTGCAGCCACTAGATGGTAGGAGCTGCAAGGGTTGTCTCTGCCTGGTATGGGTCACAGTTTTCAGAGCCTAAAGAGGAAATACTAGCTGCACAGCAGGCTGGCAGAGGCTGGACGTGGCCCTCTGTATGCCCAGCACTGGGCTGGGCAGTTTTAGACTTGCACTTCCAGATTCCTTTCCTGTGAAAGGCAAGGAAGGAGACCTGCAGCTCCCTTGCGGGGGAGGCGGGGGGCGGGGGGCCGGACACAGTTTAAGTCCTGCTCCAGCTGCATCTGTGTGAGATCTTCCTTGCTTACCACATCTCTGGGGTTTTTTTAATTTTTTTTTTTTTTTAATTGAAAGGGTTGCCTTGGGGACTGTCCACCTTGCTTAAGCCATTTACCTCTGCTTTTTCTAGGGCCTTAGACTCATCCTTTAGTGTGAGAGAGCTGACCTGCAGGTAATCGTGGATCCTGCACTAGGGGTCACAAACATCAAAAAATGCTTTTTTCTGTTTACCTGACACTGGCATCATCCAACACCTCAACAATACTGTCCTAGAATGGGTGAAAGAGGCTGTATGTCTAAATAGCTAAATCTGTAATTTAATCCTCGGGAATGTGGATCCTGGAATGTTTTAATTAAAACGAGTTTTCAGTAAGTAGGTCCTGTCTTCTTTGAGGTTTAGGAACCATCCTTCCTGCACAGGTGGTTTGCTTTTAAATTCTTTTGTCTCCACTTGTATGCATGAGAATGAAAAGGGCTGGGGGAGATCAGCTTCCCATGCAAATAGTGTCAAATAGCTTCTGGGTTTTATGTTTATTGCCCTTATCCCTTTTCTTAGGACTGCAGGGTGCTTCCAGGGGACCATCCCTGAGGCGATGCTGTTTCCAGCACTGTCCCTGCTAGCCTGATCGTTATATGGATTTGCTTTCCATGTGGCTCCGCTGACAGTTGCTGAGGCGCAGAGACTGCCCGTGTCATTCCAAAAATAGTGAGACACAAGAACTTGGCAGAGGGATGTGGTTTTCTATAACGAGCGTCCTTCCAAGATAATAGCTAGCAGGGGTGCTATTGAAGCCAGTAGGGACTGGCTCAGGGACTCCAGGGCAGCATAATCACTGCACTAGTCCCATTTTACGAGGGCAGCCTGCTGTCCAGCATGCAGCTTTCCGCTCCCTTTACAAGCTGTGGGCTGATGTCCTGCTCCTGACATGGAAGGGGAAGGTTTCTCCACATCTCTGCTGGCTCTTGGGCACTCAAGTAGTTCTCCCAGGGTCAGCATGGGCATCGTGTCATGGATCACCCAGGTGTTTAGACAGATGAGCCTGTATTTCATCTCCTAAAAGTGTTAGAGCTAACCTGGAGCCTTTGACAGGGACCTGATTTTCAAGTGAGGGCCCACCAGCCAAAGAGGCAGGACTGAGCAGTGGCAGCTGGCTGGCTGCTCACCCTTCTGTTGGTCCCCAGGTGCCACAAGAGAGGTCTAGGTGCCCTTGTATGTCCAGGGGAGTCCTTCAGTCATGGGCCC